ATATGATTCTCTCTGTGAGCACAGGTCAAGACACGGGTCACAGTGCAAAGAGCAATAGCATGAATATTTCATTTGCAATTCCTCTTACACATTATTAAACTCTTGCCCTTGACTATTGTGGGTTTGTAATCTAGTATGTGTGCACATGTGAATTGATTTCTGGGTGTGTGTCTTTGTTCACTCTCGATAGGGCCCTCCTTTCATTGTGTGTCCTTTAGTTTCACTTCTCTGGCGCTCTGAACATCACATACCTCTGAGGTAACATCTAAACATGCCTCACCGCAGCCAAGAGTGATAAAGAGTTTACGTCAATGGAAAACGGGAGAGGAGAAGTGGCTGAACGGATCACTTTACAGTCACTGATTGTTTAACCCATCAGTGGTACTATTTGTCACCATATTTGTCACTATTTGTTTTATTTGCATTAAGTCATTTATTTTGTCATTATTTTAAAGTGTGTTGTTTTAAAGTTTCACATTATTAAATGTCCAGCAAAAAAAGAAAGAAAAAAAGTTCTGTTGGGTTTAATTGACCAACTGAGCAAAATTTACCGGTTTCCTCTATATTCAAGCAGAGGAATGGTTATTTGAAGTGGTTTCTTGTCCTGAATGAAGGGAAATCCCATAAACCAGTTTGACGACATATTTGTTCTGAGATCACATTCGACTGTATTATGCGTTTCACGTTATAATGTTGAATGGATGACATGCGAATTGTTCCACATTGTAATGAAGATCGTCATAGAACTTAAATTCTTCGCTAGACATTCCAGCAGATCTTAATTCTCACTTGTGCTGGCATTCGCTCAGTTGCCTTTTTAATGGTGTTATTTTTGGAGTGTGTGAATGTCACCCTTGACACACTCTCCGCATGCGAGTGTGTATCCGTGCAGATGAGTGGGTGAGTCTTTAGCAAGTGGGCCACAACATCTCTCAGGCTCAGAGACGTCTCAGTTGCCATGGAGATGGAGAGAAAGGGTCTGGGTATCGGCACTGATTTTTCTTGGTTCTATACCGAATACAAGCTATCCTCTATATTGATTCATTTGGGAATATTTTAAGTTCATTTCAGTTAATGAAACATGACAACATGATAATAATTGCACGATCACACGACTGCAACACAGTCCAGGTTAATTTTATTGTCATATTCAGGTATTTGTATTTTCAAATCATTATGCACAGAAAAATGTCCTTTATACCACTTGAATAGAGAAAACAAAAGGCAGCATAAAAGAAAAATAAATAAATACTTTTCATAAAAAGACTTGTTAAAGCTGCTGTCCGCATTTTTTCCTCTTTGTCGCCATCTCTGTTCGAAATCTGCAATTGCAGTCATTCGCGGAATTATCAACTTTACGTGAGTTGTACTTCGACACTCTCGACACGGCACAGTGCGGATGAACACAACGTTTGAGGAGAGTGTGCATCTGTCAGTCACCGCGCCAATGTCGATACTGGATTTTTCTGATTATTCTTTTTGGAAGTATGACCAACATAATAATTTTCACCGGAAAATGTCATCTGAACAAGTAAGTAACATCCACTTTTGTTCTGGTTCTGACATTGCAGTAAATCGCGCTGATTAAATCTAAAAATCGCTTATCATATCACGCAAAACCGTGCAAATTATACTTTGTTCTCAACTTGTTAATGTTAACAACGTCAGCATTGCGTGACTACATCTAATGTCCTTCCGATATTATCCTTGTTTTCGCATGGGTCCGGTTGCAGTCTCTTTTTTTCTGTAGCCACTCTGAAGTCCGAACGAAGTCTTTTGCATTTTACAGCGGGTGAATCTGTTGTCACTGGTGATTGTCGTTTGAACCTTTCTGGATCCGCCATCAAATTGATAAATTTAATTATATCAAGTGCTATGAGAAAAGGCTGTAAATCTCCACCTCCAACATCCTCACACGCAATATAGCCTAGCCGAGACTCCTTCTTTATGTGTACACATGTAATGACGCAAAGACATGCTCGAATCTCCCGCGGAAATCCACCAGCACCACTGGTGTTAAAAACATTACTACAAGCTTACCGTTTTGAATCGAGCTACGGCAAGCAGATAGTGTTGAACACTGTCTGGTTACCGGTATGTATTTTCTCAAATATGTATTTTGGATAATTTTTAACCCCAAAAAAGCTACGGACTGCAGCTTTAATGAATATCCAGTTTCATTTGCAAATCAATTTATTTCCATAATTTGATCCAAAGATGGTTCATGGTGTTGACTTCTGTAAGTGTGTAATTGATTTAATGTCATGATCCACACATTAAAACTGGACGGTTCCACCAGATGTGCGGCACAGAGGGAAGTCTGTTGCCCCTCACATGAAGATCTGTTGAATTTGTAATGATCTGGGTTAAATTCCAGCCTGGTTTATGTCCTGGTCCTGTTCCCCTTCTTTCTCCCTCAACTTTCCTGTTGCTTTTCCACTGTACTCTCAAATAAAGGAGAACTGATAATATACAAATGTAAAAAAAAAAATAGATGGATGGAGAATGGATGATAGATGGATGGATGGATGGATGGATGCATTTATTTTCATTGAGACAAGCTGACATTCACAGAATTGAGATCTTTGAGCTTTGTGCAGGGGCCGGCAGTCAGGATCCACTGACTCAGCGACATCTGCAGATTGAGAGGCATGTTTCAAATAATGATTAATGAGAACCTATGTGAAAAAAGATGGATTAAAAAAAAATCTTGAGATTTTAAAACTCGATATTGGAACGCTCAAACAAAGGTCACAGTTAATCGGCAAATCAATATTTATTCCCAGTCCTTGCAGCAAATCAATTTGGTTGGCATTGGCTGTCAGTCGGTCTCAGGTGATGAGGGAGCTGCTCTCTAGACCTGATTCGGATTCTGCTCTAAATCTCACAGCTACAACACAGTCTGCCACTAATTGCAGATCGGGATTCATTGGATCTCCGGAGGCCTGATTTGAGACTTGTTGGAGAATTTGTTCTGTGGGGCTTCTGTGGGTATGAGGGGGTTGAAAAGGCACAATACAATGCAGTTAACCTTTAGCAACGTTAACAGAGACTTTGAACGCTAGTCTGGACCACAAAGAAGCTAATCCAAGTAGTTACAACCATCTACTAATACCGGACCAGATCATACACATCATTGTACACACACGCATGATTTGATTTGGTCATAGGGACCTGCATCTCATCATGATATGAGTAATTTTAAATGAATTTTAATAATGGGAATGAAATATTTAATGTTGCAGAATCTGTTGGTGCATTGCGTAGTATATACAGCTGAGTCCTAATTTTATCGTACAAGGTAATAAATATTTTCATGAGTTCTTTAAATCTGTCCGTAATAAACTAATGGCATTATGCTTCTCTCATTTCTCTGGTTTATTACCCCTCACAGCTTTGAAAGAAAGTATAGGCTCTCCGAAAACTTCTCCACATCATGCTGAGGATTATATTTCACGTGCTATGTTTGCATTGTAAGCAATATAATCGACTTTCATCCTAAGTCACCTGCTGAAGTAATCCTCCCAAGCGCCAAATATGCACTTTCTTTTATGCTGCTTTGGTGAGAACACACCTGCCAAGAACAGTAATGTAAAATGCATAAGCTCAAGGTAGATTCTCTTTCCAGGTTTTGCCTGTTAGTGTATCACAATTTGGTCCTAATTTACAGAACAGACTAGTTGCATTGTTTTTTCAATTAAAGGGATAGTTCACCCAAAATGACCAATTCTGTCATCATTTACTCTCCAAACACATGACTTTTCTTCTATGGAACACAAAAGGAGATCATGAAAAACATTCTGGCCACTCTTTGTACTATAACGAATGTGAATTATGTTCGGTGAAGATTCGTTAATGAATTGAACTCATCTGGTTCAAGTTATCCAGTCGAAGTGGTTAAAATCTCATTGAAGGGGAAGAATATAGAGTGGTATAGGACTTGTTCACCAACAAGGATATGTTTTAGATGTTTTCACTGTGTTGACACTGTACATTTCACTGTCTGTCCTAAAGTTAGACGTTGTATCCTGTAGTTCAAACAGTTTTGGCGCTAGTAATGCCAAGGTCTCGGGATTGCAAGCAATTTATATATATCAGAAATTCCTAGATATTAAAGGTAGGGTAGGCAGTTTCAGAGAGGCTAGCAATAGCAAGCTAGCTTTGAAAGCATTAGATCCCACCCTCCATTCAGAGCGCCTCTGAACACGCACAGCCAGAGCAGAGTCTGCAAAGCATCACGAGACGAGAGTTAAATGACCTCATGTCTCAAAGCACATAACATTACAATGATAATAAACATAAACAACTTACAGAGCTCTTACTTGTACCACCTGACTGCTGCAGATTGATTTCTGTGTTGATAGGGTTGACATAGAAAGTCATAAATCCGAGTCTGATGACGTTAACAGATCTGGGTAGAACGTCACGGGTTGCCATCTTGTAGTTACGGTTATGACATGGTGTGAACACAGCATAAGCTCGTTGTTTTGGTTCAGGTGGAACTGCAAAAGGCGGCTTTTGTTTTTTTGGCGTGCTCTGTGACTGTCTGTCTTCAACTCTACACGTCATCAGCATGTTGCATGAGGCAATGCAATGTCTGTGCAAGCAGGGTCACAGAGGTATGGAAATATATATGTTTACAGGCAGGTAGGACATCGTATCATCGCAATCGGACTGAATGCAATGATTGGGAGAACATTTTTTTGGTCCTGAAACTTCCACAGACGATATATGTACATGTTTTATTATTTAGACCACTTCTATTATTGATATCAGGATTTGAAGAGAATTTTAAACCAGTATTATATTTTATTAATTGGAGAAAATGGTTCTTGGACCAACCAAAGTACTCATCATTCAATTATTAATTACGAGGATGCTAGGTGTATCGCACAGGAAGTTGTTACTATTGAGGAATTGTTGTGTTTTCCGATTGCCTTTTTATTGCCTGTGTGTGTAGCATCAGTCTCTAACCCCCATCTCTTTTTATCTGTCTGTAGGAGATAAAGATGGCAGTAAAGTGACCACAGTGGTGGCGACCCCTGGACAGGGACCTGACCGGCCGCAGGAGGTCAGCTACACTGACACCAAGGTCATTGGTAACGGCTCTTTTGGCGTGGTCTATCAGGCCAAGCTCTGTGACTCAGGAGAATTGGTGGCCATTAAGAAGGTCCTTCAGGATAAGCGATTTAAGGTAAGACTGAGAAGCATGACATTCATTCTTTCTTGGTCCCTTGACTCTATATAATGCTTTGGGCCTTGTAGCTTTTCTTAAGAACAGCTCAGACAGTTTTTCTCTCATCAAAGTGCCTTTGTCTTTGTTCCTATATCCTTATATTTTTTTGTTGTATGTCTGTTCTTTGATCAGCTCCTTTATTTCTGTTCTTCAGTGTTATTGCTATACTATTATGTTTCATCTTTTTTCTCTTATATTTGATCTAATTTCTTATGGTTTATAATTTCTCTTAAATCTATTTTAGCTGAATTCTATACTGATGTGCTCACATGGCCATAGTAAATCAAATACTGTCCATACCAGACACAATGAACGCAGCGTGTAATTAGATGGTGATATTATTGCGACATCTGTAGAATAAAATAAATAAATAAATAAATAAATAAATAAATAAATACATAAAATAAACAATGGCATCAGTTAGAAATAATGGTAAAATAATGCTATCATTTAGAATCAACATTTTTGTATTTTCTCTTTTTTTGGCTAATGAATCACACTCAACGTACGAGTGAAGGGAGGTGGAGGTAGAGTTTGTAACCATAACTGTACAGTAAGAACTTACTGTCATTCGGCACTTTCTGTAGACTGGGGTGTTTAACAACCCATCTTTTTTACAGAATCCAAAAAACTCCCTCACTAGCTGTTTCCTAATTCAGAGGCTGCATCCTTCGAAGGACGCGGACATCAGAGGCCATGCCTTCAAAGTCCATGAAGGTCGAACCGAGCGTTGTTAAATGGGACGGTCTAACCTACAGAGTATTGCTCTTGTCGTTTTGCAACTGTGACAGCTTCCATTGACAAGTGGCAGTGACGTTTGTACTGGACTTTTTTTGCAAGTTATACTGTCTAAAACAAAACAGGGTTTGCAACCTGTCTAAATATGTTCACCTTGGCCCATTTATGTACATAATAAAGAGTATAAACTATCTATAAAATCACATCTTAGTAAGATATTGTCACGTGTATGTTCTGTTTTGGTTTAGTTCTAGTACCTGTACCTGTTTCCTTTTGTATAAATTTTCCCACCACTAGTTTGTTTCTATGGTTACTGATTTGAGTTACACACCTGCTTCTGTTAATTAGATTCCCGTCTGTATTTAAGCCTGAGTTTTCCTTAGTTCCCTGTCTGGTATTGTCAACGTTTGCATTTCATGTGGTTAAGTTATTTTGTTCTCCTGGGGTTTCCTAGTGGTTTCTTGATTAAAGGCTATTTGTTTTTGTACTCCATTCGTCGTGCGCTTCATTTCAGCCACAGTTGCTGACAGATGTCAACATTTGAATCACTTTAATTGTTTTTTTTTTTTTGTGCGTTTTTTACATTTGTATTGTTGGATATTTTATTAAGTTGAAACCCTTAAAAATGACTTACATTTAAAAGTGTAATCTGGCATTTTCTCTAATAAAAATCCAGTCGTCACCAGCGCGCAAAGAGGGCCTTCGAAATGAGACAGCCTTCAATGTAGGCTGTCCGCATTCGGCCTTCGAATGCAGCCTTCGAAGGATGCAGCCTGGAGCTGCATTTAGTCCTTTTTTATGCCCTTCCTTCGCTAACTTCATTCGTCTTGTTCAGTCGGATGTACATCATTGCGTATGTTGCACAAGTGCCCACTACTGGCGGAACCCTTGAAATGTGTTTAAATGGAACGCCTTAAGCCCCTTGATCATTGGAATCAAATTATTTACGTTTTTTTTTCCCTTAAGAATTTGTTTTACACACTATTCTATAGGCCTGAATGTATGCTTGGGTTGTTGGAGAAAATATAAACAATTACACAAGCAAAAATGATAACAAAACAATAAACTATTCTGTGTAAAAAAGCTTAAGGTAGCTAGCTACAAGTGTTAAATGCGGATAAATGGCAAAATAACTCTAATATCATACACTAGTCTGTGGGGTGGGGTAAAGTAAGCGCGATCTGCAGTGATGTCACAATTTAGTTGCATTGTGGTCTATGGATCTGCCTGAAGTGTACATATTGGCTTCCAATATGTACAATATGTACTATATAGTAGGCGAAAACAGTGAATGACAAAAGAAGTATGTCCAAATTCACAGTACTCATAAAAGAGTAGGTAAAAATACCCAGATGACCTACTTCTTCCGGCGAGATTCTGAAGTGTGCATACGATGGACACTTTTCTATCCCATGAGGCCAAAGGACAGGATTTATGAATGGCAGTGAAATGACGTAACTGACGCTGGTAGGTCACATAATGACAACATGGTGACTGTAGTACGTCCAGATTCCATTCATATTACACACATTAATACTATATAGAACATACTTTTTTAGTGGTCATGAAGTAATTACTTCACGTGAAGTACCTAGAGAGAGTATGCGATTTCAGATGCAGCCAGTGTCTAAAAAGGTGGAGTTAAACGCAGCTCCTGAATTGGGACACAGCTTTTCTTGAGCTAATTTCTTTTTTTTTATGAAAGGATTAAAGTGCAATATACCGCTACCTACAGTGTTGGAGTGTCAACAAGATGGCGCTTACTGCTTTACATTTACATTTACTTTTAATCATTTAGCAGATGCATTTATCCAAAGGGACTTACAAATGAGGAGAGCAATAGAAGCAATTAAACTAACAATAGGACAACAATATCCAAGTGCTGTGACCCCTCCCAGTTTAGTCTAACGCAGTATACGTAATAGAAAAAGAAGATATAGAATAGAATTGAAGAGAAAAGAAAAGAAAGTGTTAGTATTAATGGATCGAGTATTGCCGAAAAGATGCGTCTTCAGCCGTTTCTTGAAAATGGCTACGGACTCAGCAGCTCTGGTTGAGTTAGGCAGATCACTCCACCAGCAGGGAACACTCAAGGTAAAGGTCCGAGAAAGAGAAGAGATTGTGTGCCTCTTTGAGATGGCACCATGAGGCTACGTTTACTTGCAGAACGCAAGATTCTGGATGGAACGTAAGTCTGGAGTAATGAGTTTAGGTAAAAGGGAGCAGAGCAAGTGGTTGTTCTGTTGGCAAGCATCAGTGCCTTGAATTTGATGCGAGCAGCAATTGGCAACCAGTGCAATTTTGTGAGGAGAGGAGTGACGTGTGCTCTCTTTGCCTCCTTAAAGACCACTCTAGCTGCAGCATTCTGGATCAGTTGCAGAGGTTTGATAGAGCAAGCTGGAAGACCTGCTAAAAGAGCATTACAATAGTCCAGTCTGGATATAACAAGCGCTTGGACAAGGGGTTGTATAGGATGCTCTGATAGGAAGTGCCTGATCCTCCTAATGTTGCATAAGGCAAATCTGCAGGACCGGGCAGTTCTAGCAATGTGGTCTGTGAAGTTCAACTGATCATCAATCACAACTCCAAGGCTGCTGGCTGACCTTGATAGAGTATTGGATGACGAATCTAGGTCAATGGAGAAGTTGTGGTGTAGTGTTGGGTTGGCCGGGATCACAAGCAACTCTGTCTTCACAAAGTTTAGTTGAAGGTGGTGGTCCTTCATCCAGCAATAAATGTCTGTCAGGCAGGCTGAGATGCAGGCAGCTACCGTTGGATCCTCCAGTTGGAATGAGAGGTAGAGTTGTGTTGTCCGCATAACAGTGATAGGAAAAACCATGTTTCTAAATGATGAATTCTAGTGATGACATATATATGGAGAAGAGAAGTGGTCAAAGCACTGAGCCCTGAGGCACACCAGTAGCTAGATGTTGCGACACCGTATAGAACCTACCCGAAAGTCTCTGCTATTTTTGAGATTATCAAATGTGTATTATTAACATGATATCAATATAAAATTTAAAAAATCAGTCAATATAGTTATTGCATCTGCAGTCAAAAACAAATTTATTGAAGAGAAAACTAATTTATAAGGAATGATAAATGTAACGTATTTTCCCTTTTAATAACAGGCCCTAATTTCATGCTCTGATAACTTCATGATAACTGTTTAATTATTGAGTTGAAGCTCACCATAATATGACGGTAGGGGATTTTACGGTGTTTCCTGACAGATGACAGGCATCATCTTTTTCGTAAACTGCAGTAGAGAAGTATGATTGACAGAAGAAGGATGTCACCTTTCCTGAGCACCAAAACATAAATGCAGTCATGCTGAGAGTGACTATAAGATCAGATGGTGGTGTAAATGAAATTTAGGTCACTCATGTCAGCGAACAGTTTCTGCTTGTGTGAAAAAGTTGACCTCGTCTCATTGTGACAGTAAGCCATTCCCATCAGAGAGATGTAGTGCATCTATCTGGTGTGTGTGTGTGTGTGTGTGTGTGTGTGTGTGTGTGTGTGTGTGTGTGTGTGTGTGTGTGTGTGTGTGTGTGTGTGTGAGACAGAAATGGGTCACATGTGAAGGACAGCATGTGTACAGTGACCTGACGGAGATATTGACACCGTGTGCTGGTGTGTGTGTGTTTTGTCTATGAAGCTGTGCGGCATTTCCATTGTCACTTTGTCGGGTTCTCTAGGATGAAAGTGGTGATAAGGCATTGCTGGCACACTCCCAACATGAAGGTTGTTCCAATAGGTAGAGGGCATTATACTGAGTTCTAGGAGTATCACAAGGTAGTATCACATGTATTTTGGAGGAGAAGGCCTGTAAAAAAATCCATTCAAGATACCATATGAAACCTGTAAAATCAATTATAAATATATAATTCATTCAATACTAAGAGGCATTGATTAAAATGTGAAATATACAGAGCCCCTCACATGGTGATGTAAAAAAAAAAAAGAGATTTGAGGAAGTCATATTTCAGTGCCTTTCCTTGAAAAGAAGTTGTGTTCACTCACACAACTTTTGAATTCTCTCGCAAAAGTTTTGCTTTCCCCTGAGAAAATCATTGAAATATATAGTTTTTCCTCCCACCTCATATTATTTCCATTACCAGTTACTTAAACGTCCTTTTACTGACGTCTGCTTCTCAAATCTCAGTTCAACGCGGGATTCACAAAACGCTTGCTCTTGAAAGGTGGGTCAGTACCCAGTT